ATAAATAAACAAAAAATTAAAAACTTGTAAATTAAATTTATTTCTAAGAAAACTAGATACCTTTATAAACGAATAACATTTCATTTCTAATTATCTATTCAAAATAGTTTTGACACATTAACTTTAATAAATAATTAACTCTTATAAAATCGAGATTAATAAAATAATTATTAATTATTTGACAAACCCTGATACACAAAAAAAATAAAAATTAAAAAAATTAAAAAAATTAATTTTAAAAATTTTAATTTTTTTTAAATAATAATTTTTCAAATTATATCAATTATCTTTCACAATACTTAATAAACTATTATTAATATTATTTTTTCAATACAAATTACTAAAACATTAAATTACACTGGTCTACAAATTTCAACTTTTTTTCTGCGAATAAGACGGGACCTGGTGTTTCTGAACGGATTTTTCGAGCTGAACACGAATCCGGGGTCAAAAATGTCCCATCACGTCACGTTTTCGAGAAAAAAGGGGTTGAAACCCCTAAAAACAGCGTTTTTGGCCATTTTCGAAAAATTATAGAGCTGAACCCTGACGTGGTACAAATTTTGCATATATCAGAAATTAAAGGCTAAACCGTGCCCTTTCGAATGAGCCCTGTGCCGAATTGATCGCGTGCACCCTTAAAGCAGGGGGTGTATTTGTGTTTAGGGGTGCAGGAAAAATTGATCACAGAAAGAATTTAATCTTAAACGATCATAGAAAATTAATAATGCCAAGGTTTTAACTATATTAAAAGTCGCTGATTACGAATCTGCAGTTAGATTTTAAAAAGCTAGTTTAATTACAAAATTTATAAGCTTAAATTTAACTAAAATAAAAATTTATAAATTTAAAATTTCACATAATAAATTTACAATTATTTTATTTATATAAAATTTAACTTACACTGAACTAATTTTATTTGTATTATTTGTATAACCGCGGCTGCTGGCACAAATTTAGCCAATACTGTATGAAATTACTATTTACAAATTTCTTTGATTAATAAAACTAATTACTGAGAATATAATAAAATTTATTTATTA